ACTCGCTGAACATTGTTAGCAGCAAGGGGAGTAGGTACAGATGAAACATTTGAAGCAGGGGTGATATTTGTACCTACGGGTACGAATGTAGAATTTGTTCCTCGCTGACCGTTGTTAACAGCAGAGGAATTTGTACCTGGTCGGAAACGTGGAGCGTTTCTTACCTGTCGGTTAGAACGAGATTGTAGGATCGCTTTGCGAGTCTTACATTCCCAAAAATTGGATTTGTGGTTTTCACCACAATTTGAACATTTAAATTTCTTAGGATCTTCCTTCACAGGACAGTCGTCCTTTGCGTGAGAGGAATCACCACAATTCATGCATTTAGCTGGCATGTAGCAATTTTTAGTTCCGTGACCCCATCCCTGGCACTTACGGCACTGAGTGAGGTTTTGGAAATTTCCTCCAGTCTTCCTGAAGTGTTCCCACTTCACTCGGACATGGAGCATAAGGCTAGCTTTTTCTAAGGCCTTAAGGTTGTTTAGTTCACTAGACTTGAAGTGAACTAAATAAAAATCATTAGAAATCCCGTTGCGCGAATCGCCAGGACGGGATTTCATTTTCATTTTGATTACTTGGAGTGGCACAACTCCAAGTAATTTTGCCAGTTCATCTTTGATCTGATCCAGGGATTCACCACTGGGCAGTCCTTTCATGACAACCTTGAACACACGTTCAGTTTTGGTGTCGTAAGTAAAAAATTTGTGCTTCTTCTCAGTAAGATACTTGAGAAGACATTTAAATCCGTCCAAGGTTTCAGCCAATACACGGCATTCACCCCGACGTCCAATTTGTAGTGAAAACTTAACATTCACGAAATTCAAAAGTTCCATGCGAAGAGCATGGAAATCGGAAGTGGTTATCACAATAGGAGGAATCTTTTCCTTCTTGGCATTAAGCCGGGAAAGTTTACTAGAATTTTTCTTGGATGATGGATCATTCTCATCATCCGTGAGCAAATCAAATTGATTACTCAAATTAATTTCATCAGAAGGGGGATCAAGAGTTTGACCCTTTCTTTTACGTTTAGGCGCCATGGCGGCAGTAAATTTTTATCCAAATCGACTTCCAAGCAGATTACTATAAGAATCTGAAGGATCGAAGAGGAATTTTCTAAATCGATATCCAAGAAGGATTACCTCGGGTAGGGTCCAAACAAGGATCGAAGAGGAATAAGAGTTGAACAAGGTAGAAAAATTTTACAGGTTGAGCACTGAAAAGTGCTGTTTAAAATTGTTGTAGCTTTAGGTAGTAGTAACACTTCCTTAAGCAAAAAGCAAATAGATCCGCACGGCAAGAGAGCACGATGCGGACTGATTTTTAAATTCTTAACTTTTCGTAGTAGCTTATGTAGTAGCGCATTTATGTCCGAAGTCTATTGTTGGTTGTGAACCAATTTACAAAACTCATTCAAAGGCGCATCTATATGGTTAGGCATGCGATACGATATCCCTGCTTGGGAATTGCAATGTTGAAATCCATTTCGAAAACTCATGATTAATCACCTTGATAGAGCCTGGAGGAGCCAGTCGGATGAGGTTATGTTTGATATAGAGCTTCTGCAGCGGGACTCGGCTGATCATGTCTATCAACATAGGTAAAGTTTACCCGGATAGAAACCATAAACACGTCGGCACCGGTGGTGTAGTGGTAAGCGTGACTACTGTCTCACCTCAATGGGTCTGGGTTCAATTCCAGCCGAGGTTGGTATGATTTTTCTGAGGCATAAAAATCTCTCTGGTCACGTATTCCTTCGGACGGGAAGTAAAGCCGTTGGTCCTGGCCCATGTGTGTTGAATGGGTGTGATATTCTACGCAGGTGTGGAAGCTGCTTTCCTGCACATTCGATCGCCATCAATGGATGGCAATCGATGTCTGTCGGTGATTGGCACTAGATTGCGGAACAGAGACCGACGTTAAATAAAGGAATAATGAAGAAAACATCAACATCTGAGTAAACTTTACCCAGTTTTATTCAAAAATATGTCTACCCAGATCTGGGTAAATGCATGTTTACCCATTTTGACCCAACTGAACCGAACTGAGTAGATTCTACCCAATTTTAAACAGTTTTCAAATTGCGTGCAGGCTTTTAAGGCCTTAGTGTGCATTTTTCTGGCTCTCAAATTAAAACAGATTAAACATAACATATTATTTTATGTTTTTCCATACACACTTAGATTTTTTCCAGAAGCCAGTATTTTTTTTACTGGGTTTTTGAAATACGGAAAAACTCGGTTAAAATTCAAATGATCGTATAGCTTGGCTTCCCGAAGGAAAACCAAGAGGGCGTCAGCAGCGGGCGCGTTGTCTCCGAGGAGGTTCCGGATGCTCGAGGTAATCCCGTAGGCCTCCCTGAGGTTGTGGAACTCAGGGCAGACGCAGAGGATGTGCTCGACGGTCGCTGGAACTCCGCAAATCACGCAGCTTTTCTTGAAGGGTCCTCCGCCGAAATTGTGTGTCCGGTTCGGAGCCTGGTCAACACTTTTAGATCCGGTTAATTCCGGAGGTCCGTCCATGCCTCCGGGCTTCCTTTAATCTTCCGGATAAAAGGTCCCCTGGTGCCGAACCACGGATCGTTCCATGCCTTTCGAGTTGTGAATTTTACCCATCGCTTGATGTCCTGCAACGGCACCTTGTCAGTGAACCTGGGACCAGATGGTCCAGATCCAGCAAGGTTATCCGCTGCCTCGTTGCCTGGTATCCCACAGTGTCCAGGTATCCAAGTTGTACTATGCATCTTCCTGATCAATCAATTAGTAGAGTAAAGCGTATCCACAATTCAATTTACAAACGTTACCGTTAACTCACATTTTACTTCATTCATATCCGCATAGTACCGCGATAGAATAAGGACGGTCAGTAATGCATGCATGGTGCGATTGCACATAGCGAACGAACCGAACATGTGTTTTGCTGAGTTTCCTTTTTCTAGACTCGGCGCACCAAAAGGTTTCGAACTAGTAGAACCAGAAAGGGCAATAAAAAATGTCCAATATCACAACACTTATATCGATGAGCGCGTAAAACCAAATCAGCCAAAATTGTTCAATGTTTGTCAACACCTTCCCAGGCGTCTCTTTCTATCTCTTTCTATCTCTTAGATTTAAGGAAAAGTCAATTGTAACCGTAGAAAATATTGAAGCCGTTTTCGGCTATATAAACTCTGTAAATCTTATGAAATAAGGTTAGTCTTGTTCAAGCACGACTCTGACTTCAATGCGATTCCCTTTGGGAAGACCGCAAACTGAAGAAAGCCATTGGCTAGTGATCTACGGTCCATCCAGTAGATAACACTAAGTCTAAGTCTTGAACGTCCGTCGCGACTATTCACTTTCGTATGAAACAAGTTCTACCACGATAAACCACGGTGCTGTTGTGTGATGTAGTTTTGTAACACGCCAGCATCGTATAAAGTATATACATTGCTGCCCGGGCGAACTTCAAGGTGGCCTGGATCCACGGATGTGACGGAGCTGCCGAACGGAGTTCCTGTATGGCGCTGTGGAAATCCGTCAGGATGAGGATAGCAGGTACTGTGGCTGCATGGAAGATTGCAGCGGCTTCAGCAGAGAATACGGAGCATTGTGGCGGTAGGTTGTTACTGGCAAGTAAACCACTTCCGGATACTCCGATGCCAACGCCTGAGCTGGATCGGGAACCGTCAGTGTACCGGTGTGAAAAATCGGCATATCGTGAACTAAGGAGTTCGGCTACAGACCGATGCAAGGCCTGGGAGTTGTCACCTGCCTTGAACCGGCTCTTAATCCTATGGTCTATGTTGGTGTCGGAAGAGAGCCAACTCCTCTCTCCGTGCCAGTGGGTCCTAGCCACCGGGGGGAGGTCGACGTTGGCGATCGTGCGCAGGCATCTGTTCCCTTCGTCGAGGAGGAAGATCCTGCCATTTCCAGCTGTTTTAGCGACAAATGATGCGGCTTTGATGATGGTTGCGTTCATAACACGGTACCGGAATGGCAGGATCCCCGCTTCTAGGCAGGCCGAATCGGCGGGAGTAGAGGGTAGGAGACCGGAGATAATTCGGATGCTGTTGTTGTATGTCGGACCAAGGATTTCGTTTTGTTTTCCGGATGCGAGGCACGTTAGCTTGGTTCCGTAGAGCAGGCGGCTGTCGACGATGGCTTGCACAACCCGGAAGCGGACCGCTCGATTGTTGGATCGGTGGGGCTTGGAAATTGTTTTAAGTAAGTTGATTCGGCTACGGCAGTTCCGTTTGACCTCGTGGAAGTGAGGAACGAACGATAGTTTGCGGTCAATGAGCACACCCTGGAGAGTGTAACCTCCAATTTGAATAAAATTATAATATAAACTATATAAAAAGTAGTGTAAATTTCCGTTACTATGATGCACATAAATGGAGCATCATATATCATACAAGTTAAGATTATAGATCGTGTAAATTTATGAGACGCCATGTAATATTCCATATATTGTATGCAACTGTCCACTTTTGTTTGCAACATTTCTTCCAAGCTGCTTGTTAACGTGAAAAGGAAGTTTACATGCATGAATGTTTGCATGCATGGATGTTTACATCGCCAGTAAAATTCAGAATTTTTTGGTGTGTATGACCGTTTATTAGAATGCTCATATTGAATGCTATTAAACGTCAGTTGAATAAAATTGAAATTTAAACAGTAAAATCTAATTTTTTGTTATGAGAATCTCGTCAAAGCAATCATTTTAGTTTCATAATGAAATGTGACAACGTGACAACTGAAAGCGGAACCCATAATGATCAATTTGCCCCCGGATTACATATTTTTTGTGAGATACAATCGAATCAGTGTATTCAATCACAACAAGCCAACTAGAGTTGCTGTGTAGTTTTAAATGGCAAATTTTGTTTACCTATTCATTATCAATTTTGGCAACGCTGCATCTACCTGTGACCGATGCTACCATTCATTCCAGCTCGTGCGTAAATGTCTTAATCATCAGGCAGTCTTGCCACAGCTGCCGTGCGATAATCAGTGAACACATTTCTATTTTCCTATCCTCAAAATGGTAGACGTGCTTCCAGTGGAGCTGCTGCAGCTAATTTTTGACCTCCTCAGTGCAGTGGATCGGAAATCCGCTTCGTTAGTTTGCCACCGTTGGCGTCAAGTGCTGTGGTCTGATCGGTACCTAAAACGCATGACTGCCATTGTGACTGGCAGGACTCTGTGCTCTCAGTGGGCGTTACAGCGACTGCAACGTCCCTTCCGGAAGATGAACATCGAAGAGGATCTCGGCCTGCAGGAATCGGAGCGTAAACGTTTTCTTACCAGAGTGCGAAAGTTGATATCATCCCGAGTGGTTCGATCCAGCGTGCAAGAGCTGCGGTTAGTGATGAGCCATCCGTCATTGAACGGGATTTTCGGTCAGCAGGTAGCAGTTACCTTTCCGAAACTGAAGGAGCTGTCGTACTCGCCTGGTTCGAGGCTGTTAAATCATGATGATGTGCTTGCCAGAATCAATGCTCATGCACCGCAGCTGCGTGTGTTGAAAATCGATGTCTTCACCAATTCGGCCGTCGAGTTGATTAGGATGGCATCTCGACAAATTCACTCACTATCGATGCGGTTCTACGATAAAAGGACATTTTTACGCGTGATTGAAATTGAGTCGTTCGATTCGTTCCGAGAGGCTACGTTTCTGACGGTATTGAGTGGACAAGAGGATTACGAAATGTTACACCCGACTGATTTCAATGCCACCCATAGGATGAATTTGGCTAAGCTGGACAAACTGGAGATAAGAGATGCGGCTAATATGTTCAGTCAAGTGTACGATATAATCTTCCGAGCCTCAACCAGTTTGAGTCAGCTGAATGTGTTTGGCACGGACATATCCAACTCGGCGCTAGCTTCCATTCATAGCATGAAGAAACTGAAGCGATTGCATCTGTATCTGTACGGTAATAATGGTTGAATAAATGATTTTAGCTTATTACGGTCCATTATGATTGTTGAGAGAATTTTGCGATTTATATATGTTTTACACATAAGAGACGATTGGGAAACCTTGGTAAAATGGATTGATTGTGGTTAGGCTCTAGTTTTGGGATTGTATTTGGGGACGATGAAACGATGGATTCCACATGATAATTTTTTTTAACCATTCCACCACTAGATCTAGCTGAGATTATAAATGCACGGACTCCATTTAAGAACTTTTTTCTCCTTTGGTTTGTTTTCCCGTCGATCTTGTTTTCCGTGCTGAGCACCAATGCTACCGACGCCAGGACCCTACCTATCGACCCATCAACTCATGAACCGGGGACCAACGGCTTTACTTCCCTCCCGAAGGAAGGCGTGATCAGATATGCTATGCCTCAGAACATCCCGGCGGCGCCGACTGGGATTGAATACAGCCCTGCTGGGGTGAGAGGTAATCACGCTTACCACTACACCACCGGCGCCGCTTCATTTAAGATCTTAATTATGATAATTTGATGGGAGGTGTATAAATTGAAATTTGCAATTTTCGTTTGCATGGCAAATGGTTTAAAGATCTACTAGCCAGCAGCTGATCGATTTGCTGCTGAAATTAAAAATGGAGGCTCTTTTTTTTATTTGAAAACATTTGGAGCATCATTGGATGGAAGGATGGAACGTGACATTTGCTTCAATATGCACTCACGGATCCCAGAAACCATTCTTTTACAATTTATGTTGCTGCCCTTTATTTTTTTTTGGGATTCGTAATGACTTTAACAAACGCAAAACAACCGTTTCCCTCGTGAGTAGATGGAAGAAGAGCTTTGTTTTGTGAGGCATCCTCCTAATTTTTCGAAATCATCCCAATCGATGGACCATCCCATTCAATCGGGAGATAAATGACGTCACTAATACAGTATCGATTTCGCTGGAATCTCATCTGCGGGGACGGGATATATTGCTCAATCATGCTTAGTACCTATCTACCTACCACTTTTGCCGGCGAACGTGTAAGCGTGTATGCGAGAAGGTGTAATGAGGAGACGAAACTCAGCTTCCCGCTGCAGTAGAATTGGGCTAGCAGAACGCGCAGGCAACTGCGGCACAGGGTAATGGAAGGCATGGAAAAATATGGCTATCACAAATTCTCGTAAGCCCATTAGTGTCACTCTATTAAGGCCCGCTCATTCGTTCGGGTTGGTTCAGCTCTCGGTTGGCTGGCACACGGCATATAACTTCATTAAAAATTGAAACCATTATATTTTATGAAAAACTATCCACCAATGCCTCGCCTCGAGAGCTCTGGGCCTCCGGTTGTCGTCCGTTGTAGTGGGATCCCTTGAATCCGGATTGCATACACAGTAGCAAGTACCATAATGGGATTGCATAAGCCGAAAAACCACAAAAAAATATAATATCAAATGAAACCTAAGACAATACGGCACTTCATGCCCCCCGCGAGTGCATTTCAGGTCCATGGTCGTCGGTGGTAAGCTGCACGAGTTGCGGTTTCTGCCATTCGTGTCGAGCTGACTCAAGGATGCTTTTCTGTATTCGAATTTGGCTTTGCATGATGTCAGATATTTTTGTCATCGATATTTTTCAAATAGAAATTGATCCAAACTAGTTTCAAATGTCATTAGTCGATTAGATATTTCCTGTGAATAAACTGAGTACGTTTTGATTAATAGTGCTTTATTTGATGCAGCGTCGGAAGTTGTAGATACATTTTCTGGCAACACTGCACTGTCATCGCGGGTCACATGCAGAACAATTTGTGAAATTATGAGAGACTCTTGCTACGTTCGGGAGATCGCGCGACGGTTTCTCGGTAAAAGTCTCGGAACGGAATGTTGTTCATACAAACAGCTTAGCTTGTCGCCATATCGTGTAGCTACGTTTCCCGTGCAGGATTAGCAAGATATAGAGGGACAACGACGACGACGACAACGAAGTGGGACATTTTGGGTATGGCTCGCGGGATCTGCTCTCTCCGTGATTTCGGTTGGCTTATGAGATGGCTTGTTAGTGTACCTTTGTTGCGAGAATGTCAAAACGTATCGTTGTTTCTTTTTGTACACTTGGCTCTTAGTGTGTGGGACTTATTAACATTGGGATCCTAAGGGTGGTAGGGGGGGTCACTCAATAGCTTCGGAATAGGTGCCACCGAAGAACAATAACAGGAAGGAGATTGGTTTTCTTTTCGGTGTGTTATGATGCAAAGCCAAGTCAAGCACGGAGCAATCAATGGGAGGAGTGAGGTGATACAGTGAAGGATGTGGGAACCACGTTTGAGGTTTTGGGCTTCTGCTACCGTCTTCGGTCGTTTCTCAGATAGAGAAAGAGTAGCACATAATCCGAACACCTTGTGGAAGTGGGCATGGGTGCAAAGCTTCTTGTCACGTTTTTTTTCCTTCAGAGCAAAATATAATAATAAACCTTTGGTTAGGTTGGTTGTTTTTGTGCTTCTGTTTTGGTGTTTTACGTACTTTTAATAAATACGTGAAAAACTGAATGGATTATCAGGCTCGGAAGAGAAGTGCAATGAGGGGCAATGGATCGCAAAAAGGTGTTGTTCGTGGTTGGGACGGATCGATTGGTTGGCTTGAATTTTTGCGCCCCTTCTGCTGGATAAGTGTATTAGAAGTACCTCTGATGAAGTTATGTGGCAAGTAGTGCTGTTGATGGTGCGCTTTTTCCTCTTGCTAACCGCAAATAATGAGATTAAGCGGTTATTACCAGATGATTACGACTTCTAATAAGCTTTGCAGATGCTAACCGGGCCGTGATGTGTGAAGAGTTTGATTGATTTTTTAATTGAATGTGTCGGATGCAGACATAATTGAGTTAATACACGGCGAAACGGTCGACTTGGAAGGGGAAATGAATTCGATTTGTGGTTTAAGGGATTGATGAACAATATTGAGTTTAAAGGTTGTTGAGTGTGCATAGCGTTTTATATCAATTTTTAATGGAAGGAAGATAATTGAAGGTTTGGACCAGTAAGAGGTGAGGTGATAGAACATTTTGAAGGTAAGGTCCGAAAATTGCAAATACCACTCACGATAGAGCGATTCCAGGGCAAATAGCAAAAAAAAAAGAATTTCAAACTCTACCTTATCCGGTTAGCTTAGCTTAGCTTAGACTGACTGCACATATCAATGGTTGGTACTCCGTGATTGATCAGAATCAGTGAAATTGTGCAATGAATCAACTGAATGGGGCTGGGAGTGACCATCCATTCTCATTGTACAAGTTTCAGTGACTCCATATTTTGTAGATCAATAACGGCGCCGGCCACGTCCTTGCAATCAGGTGGGAGTAGAGAAGGAATATTAGAGCGACCTTTGTTGTTTGTGGGCCGTGTTTACCTCTGCACCCCAACGAAAGACACAGGAAAGGAGATTTTGTTAGTAAGTTGGGTTCGTTGGATCAGAATTCACCTTGATAAGTGATGCGATCATGGTTTTAAATGAATCAGTGTTATCATGCATTATACTTGGATTTTTCTGAAGCCTAAACAAAATGGTGGATCATTATAATATAAATCTGAAGACGTTCCATCATCGAAAAGCTGAAAATAAACTTAGAGCATAAGCATGAGCAAAATTGACCGCCCGCGACTGCCAACACCAAAGAGCTGAAAACCAATTCAAACAAATCAAATCAGCAGACAAACCCAGGGTGAAAGTATAAATCTAATGATGTTTTGTTATCGAAGAACTGGAAGAAAAGTTAAATAATTTAAATCAATAGATCCAGTCTGACTGATGAATCTGAAAAAAAGAGAATTATTACACAGCAATTACCCCATTTTGTCAGCTAGCAAAGTATTTGTATCTTAAACATCCATCTTGAAGGAGGAAGATATGAAATCACAATTATGTGGAGTTAATGAAAAATAACAGTCTGATGCGCGGAGAGGCTGACAGGATCGGGTCATAACTGGAATGTAGATATTAGGAAGATTTATCATCATCATACTATTCTTGAATTAACATGGAAGAATGCTTGTGAATAATTGTTATACAGATAAATTAAATTGATAAATTAAATGGTTCAAACAACAGCTCCAGTCTGTAGAAAAGCTGAAAATAGGGAATCTTTACAATGTGGATCCTACGCTATTCCACTATCGATGGGTTGAAAGTATTCAGTATAGCTATTTGAACCAAAACCGGAAAAGAAAAAAAATATATACGAATCAATTCCATCGTAGTAAAGATGTACCACGTACCAAGCCATGTGTTCGTCATATAAACGTTAAACATACACTAGAAAAAAAAATCAAATGATGTTACGTTGCATCTTCCAGTTGTGATTCTGTTTTAAATATTTATCATTGAATATATAATAATAATATAATAGGACCTGTGATTTATTCAAACTCAAACTCCACGGTGGTGCCCTTTCCTTGTGTAAGCCTCTACTACCGATGAAAAAGTTACGAAAAAGCGCTTATGCCTTCATTAAATTCTACTTTTAAGTGACTTTCGTTGTTTCGATTTGGTCTTTACGTAAGACGGGAACAGAATCCATAAAACTTTCACATTTTGGGTTACCGTACCCCTTTCTTCACGCTTGCCGATTTTACCAGCGTACACATATTGCACATCTTTTAAGCTATCTCGACCGAACTCTATTGCGTTTTAAAACGACTGTTTTCTCTTTCATATTTCGAATGTAAGAGATTTCGCGTATTGAGAGAATAATATAGTAATCGAGTACAACATACTCAGGGGAATACAATACCTCCAAAAGTTTAAAAGCTATTACTTGTCACATACCTCTACTTTTACTTATTTCCTAAACTATTCCTCTCCTTGTTAATCTGCTAAATGCTATTGATCTGCCTGCGTTTTCTTTTTAAAGTTCAAGACTAAATAAGAAGATTTATTCTACAACTTTAAAGGTTAGTTGCCTCCATAAGCGGACCCCCCGCATCCTAATTCTTTTGTTAATCTACTTAATGTCATTAGACTTTCTGAAGTTTCT